GTGGCCGGGAGCGGCCACTGTACTCCAGTCTGGGCGACAGAGTGAGACTCCAACTCAAATGAAAAAAAAAAGTATGCCAGCCCTGAAACCCCCTTTAACCAACCTGATTTTGTTACTCAAGCAGTAGTATAGGTTGTAAAAAATAAGTGAATTAAGCATTCTTTCCAGATCCTCATCATGAAACCATTATAGACCCTAGGAAAATAGGTATTTGCAAGGAAACATAAAAAGAATTGTTTCTAGACACTAGATGTATTGATTCACAAATGAAAAGTGGCTTAACCTAAACAAAAGAAGACTCTTGCTTTCATAAGGTTTTGCTTGTAGCAATTCAACTGTTCCTTTTCATTGCCAGGGTAGGTTAGAGGGGAGGAGCTAATTGGCCTGATTTTTCAAGATGAGAATAGGCAGGCAGAGGGATCAGCTAACCTCCTCTTGGCTGTATGGAGAATCAATGAAATACTTTTTTGGCTGCTGATTTGCCCCGGCCCCATGGCTACCACTCCAGTGAACTCTGGAAGAAGAGAGGCTTGAGTAGTCAGTCAATGAACCTACCTCAGTAGCTGCCTTCTTAGCCTTCTCTTCTGCATTTTGACACCCATGCAATGCCTCTTCAGCTTCTTTAAGCATCCGGGCAACATCCGCCTCCAGTTTCTTCTTCTGGCTGAGGAGGCTTGTGTTCTAAAGAAAAGCTGTGTTTCTGTTAGGCAAGTGAAAACCAGTGATGCAAATATAAGCTGATCTGTTCAGGACATGCAATGGGAATCAGGTCTGGTCAGGAGTAAATTATCTTATAGTCAGTCATATTCACTTAAGCAATACTTCCAACCTCCAAAGGCTTTTTGCCATCAAAAGACATTCTGAGTGGAAGGGATTTCACTCATTGGAGGTTCAGGACTAAAGAGGTGGCAGCCAGCCTCAGAAAGGAGAAATGGATTCCAGATAACCTACAAGCCCCAAACATGTATTTGGATTTCCACTGGTTGAGGAAATGTTTCTCTGTCTTTTGCTTTTTTGATGTGATAGAAACAAGTGTCCCAGAGCAGAAGTCAGGGTCAACTGCAGACATCTAGAGAGCAGGGAGCTGGGGAATAAAAATCACAGTTCCCGGCATGCAGCTCTAGGAAGACAAAAAAATAAATTCCTCCTCTTTATCTACCTCCCTTCCTATCTTACTTTGCAGTGAAGAGGTGGGGAAAGTAGTTCAGAATAATCCTTATCCTCCAGCCCCCAGGAACCCTCATTACAGTGGAGGATTCTTTGTGTTCTGCAGTTGGCGCTGCCCTAATTCTTTCCTTCCTGAGTTATGACACGAGAGGCCACAGCTCCTTTTGCAGCTATATGGTCCATGTTTGAAGCCCAGTTTTTCTGACGGTTTGAAACCTTAGCATAGAGAGTATATAAAAAAGGCAGGGGCTTTCTCTTTTTTTATTTCTCCTCTCCCTTTATCCATTCCATATTCACTTTCCACCAACACGTGCCTTTCTCAGTGGTAGAACGAAGCTTTGGGAATAGAAAGATCATCTAGCCTCACAGAACCCTGCTTCCTCTGTGGCATGAAGCATCTTCATCAAGACTGCCATCCTCTGTCCTCATGGAGAGCTGGGCCTTGTGCACCCCCAGGTTTTCCCTGGCTATGGCCTTGAGGGTGGAAGAGCAGAAATAAATAGATTTTTCTGCAATGGTTTTTTGGATGCTCACTGCACATAATTTCATAGAACTCTTTTTTTGTAAAGAAAGGTACGAGGACAAATACTAATTTGCTTGAACATAGAATCACTTAAAATCCACTAGGGAGATGATGGATAAAATCTTTGCAAGCTGATTGATTCTAATTGGTTTGTTTTTAGGAATAAGTGGGTTAGCTGGTATTTTGCAGGAGGGCGATCCAGATTGTCATAGCTCAGGACTGACAAAGGGTACATGTAATCAAGAGTACGTTTTGCCTCCTGTGTTTATTCTAGGCTAGAGATCTGAAAATGCAGAAGGTAACTAAGATGGCTCCCTAAAAGTCTCATTATGTTTTGATTGATAATGTTCTAGTAACTGCAAGGGGCCCCAGCATGAGTTTGGGGAGAGGTTCTCATGAGCAATATAATAGCACTTATACCAGTACTGGTCAAAGGGTAGTTTCTGGATGAGCAGAGAATGTGAGAACGTGTTTGATTCCTGGGTCCTACTGCAGAGCTTCTGATTCCATGGGTCTGGGGAGATAGCTGAAAATTTGCATTTTTGTGTTTGTGATGCTTATTTGTACACCCAAGTTTTCAGAAACTCTGCACTAGACAGCAGGTCTCCATTGTCTAATTTTCTCATTTTTCCTCCCTTCAATCCTCTCTTCCAGGTCTCCACTGCTTTTTCTCTGCTTCATGCCTTATCTCTCTCTAGGCTCATGGTTTTTCATTATATGGGGAGTCACTGGTGCATTATCAGTAATAATATGTGTGGCAAATGATTTGTTTCCAATAGCAATTAAGTACTGCAGACAGTGGATGATTTACTGTTTTAAAAAATTCAATATTCTCCTTTATAAGAATCCAACTCATTGTTTTTACATAAGCTTTCTGAAGAGAGAAATAAAGTGTCAAAATGAGTTAGCCTTCTGGAAATTATACATAACCTACTGACTATTTGTTCTATACCACACGGTACCCAAATAAGATTCTGTCATCCACATGGACACAAAAGTCAAACTGTAGGCACAAACTAATTGCAAGGCCTTTCAGCAGGTATAATTCCAGTTTATACTCCTTTTTATCTAGTATTTCTTAGCAGGGGCACAACTGGCTCTGGGAAGGGCAATTTTGGGGGACTATCCTTAACCTTGAAGGAGTTTGGTATCTCTAGAACCTGCCCACTAAGTGTCAGTGGTACTTCCCGGTCACTATGGCAACCAACATGATGCCACAGATATTTCACAAACCAGAGTGTGGTAGCTCTGCCCCTGGTTGCTTTAATCCATCCTTCACAACAATCACTAGAGTAAATTTTCTTTAACTCTGATAACTTATTGTCAGCTACTCAAAATTCGTCCCTGGATCCCCATTGGCTGCAAGATAAAACTCAAACTCCATCAGTCTCTTAACTTGAATTCTGCTCATTATTTCTACTCACCCTATGCTCGAGTATGTGAATTTCCCTAAAAATCTCCAAATCCCTCTTCCTCTATACCTCTGCCCCTATCTTTGCTCTCTACCTGGCTGACTTATTACACATCCTTCATGACTCAGATGAAGCATATTGGGCATCGATCTAAGTCTACGGTTGTCAGGAAGCTCTCTGTAGGGATGGGCTTACTCTGTTGTCACCCTCTTAGCAGTGCACTAAAATTGTCTACTTAGGTCTCCACTTTCTTAGGACAGCAGAGACATTCTGTATCTAGACCATGCACACCTGTCCAAGTTGTGGCAGGGATGTGCCCTACAAATGCTTATTGCATGACCTGTTTCCTATAGACATTTGTCCTAGTCACTATGGCTTTTCCTGATTCCAGGAAAATGGAGAGAGATCTAAAAATTCTTGCTTGGCGTCACTTACACAACTTTTCATAAGAAGCCAGAGTCCTGGCAGCTCATCATATTCCCTCAGAATTGCTAGAGATCTCCTGGCTACAAGGCAGGAAATTTTTTGTTTGTTTGTTTTTTATCCTGGGATTCTGGGGAAGCAGGTGGCTGAAAGAGAGCAGGACAACCAGGCAAATGGTTCTGCAACACTAGGGACTACTCATCCCTCTCTCCCCAGCATCCTGGCTGCGGATGCCCTGACAGACAATTCTTCTGGCAGAAAGCTTGGAGTGGTTGAATTCTGTCTCCCAAAAAAAAGCATATGTTGAAAGCCTGACATCCAATTTCTCAGAATTCGACCTTATTTGAAAATAACGTCTTACTCCGTTTAAAAGACAGCTGGAGGCTGGGCACAGTGGCTCATGCCTGTGATCTTAGCACTTTGGGAGGCTGAGATGAGAGGATTGCTTGGGCCCAGGAGCTTAAGACAATCCTGGGCAACATACAAGATCTTGTCTCTACAAAAAATTTTTTTAAAAATTAGCCAAGCATGGTGGTGTGTGCTTGTAGTTCCAGCTACTTGAGAGGCCGAGGCAGAAGAATTGCCTGATCCCAGGAGGTCAAGACTGCAGTAAGCTGTGGTTGTACCACTGCACTCCAGCCTAGGTGACAGAGTAAGACCCCAACTCAAATAGGTTGGTAGGTAGATGGAGAGAGGAAGAGAGAGAGAGAGAGAAAGCAACAGAGAGAAAGAAGGAAGGAGGGAGGGAGGGAGGGAGAGATAAATGCAGCTAGAAAAACGGGAGGTAATTGAGTTGAAATGAGGCCCTTGGGTGGGCACTAATCCCATATGGTTTGTACCCTTATAAAAAGTACAAATCTGAACAGTGATAGACCTTTAGAAGAAAGAAGCAGTGAAGACACACAAGGGAGACCATGTAAAGGCAGAGGATTGGTGTGATGCATCAAGAAGCTAAAGATTGCCAGTAACCCATCAGAAGCTGGGAAGAGGCCAGGAACGATTTTCCTCCCTAGAGGTTTAAGAGGGAGCATAGCCCTGCTGACACCTTGATCTCAGACTCATCTCTAGTAATGTGGAAAAATGAACTGCTGTTGTGTTAAGCCAACCAGTTGGTGATAGTTATTATGGCAGCCCAAGAGAACAAATGCACTTGGGAATGAATGAAGAGTGGGGCGACTGCTCTACTGCATGGGCTGACCCTGTGCTTCATGGCCATGCCCAAGACTTGCCATGGCAACCCTGTGTGGCCCAAGGCTGCCCCAAGTATGGGAACCACCACCTTCAACCAACTGACTCAGCCAATGCGGAGAGTCCATCGGCCCCACCTGGGTATGGAAGAGATGGATTCTTTCTGTGACCTGCAGGAGCTCTTCTTCTGCCAGCCTGCGCCCACGCTCTGTCTGCTCCTGCAAGGACCTCAGCTCCTCTAGTTCAGACTGAAGAAGAACATTATGTCGTTCAACTGCAGCTACCTGCTCCTTCAGATCACTGTTCAGGTGTGTGCTGTCATCCAGTTGCATTTGAAGGTCCTGAGAGAAAGAATGTGGGTCCGGAGCACAGAGCCCTTTGAGGTCAACATAGCAGGTGAGGTGCACCTACACATGCAGGCTGCAACCACAGTCTCACCTCTGAACCCAAGTGCATTCCCACTCTCTTAAAGGATTAGATCCATTAACTTCACCTTCATTGCTCAACACCACCTGTTGTTTAATTGCTTCCATAAGCAGAAGCATTTTCTACCCCCTGCACCCTGTATTTGGTTTTAAAATACCTTGACTTGAATCTGGAGCTGGCCCAGGGATCTGGTTGTCTCTGACACCTGCCGGTTGGCCCAGCCAAGCTGGAGTTCCATCTCATTGAGGTCTCCTTCCATCTTCTTCTTCAGTCGAGTAGCTTCAATTCTGCTCCTAGTCTCAGCATCCAGACTAGATTGCAGGGAGTCAACAGCATGCTGTTGTTTCCTCCTAATTTTAGAATAACATTCAGAGGAAGAAAACATAATCACATTCTCAAATTAGGAAATTTACCTACTATGTTTAAAATCGTGTAGAGAACAGGAAAAAAAATTAAAATCCAAGACATCTAGGTAATTAACAATATGAACCTAAAGGGCTTTCATTTTTAAAACAGAGAGGGTGAGAAGTTAGGTTAGTGAGCATACATCCACCATAACAGACTAAGTAAGGTTTCCGAAGCAACATCCTCAAAGAATCAAGGAAAGCACCAGAAGCTTTTTGAGGTTCCTGTGGGGCAGCCTTAGACTTATCTAACAACCCCCAAAGGATGGTCTAGAGCAAACACCTGGGTATCCTAGAGTGGCCAAGAATGGAGGATGGATGCTTCTTTAAGCAGCCATAATATTTGAACTTCTTTTAGTGGTGCAAATATATGCACAAGACAGGAAAAAGCCTCCCATGTTGGAACAGGCCCTGAGATTCAGCAGTACTGCTCTAAATAGCCTGCAGACACAACCTTCCTGGAACAGCAGGGTTACCTTTCTCTAGGAAGTCGAGAGTCCACCCAAGGATTGACTGAGACAACCAACTGTGTGATATTGAATTACATTAAAACTTTACTTTAAATGTCTTCCTAGGAACAAAACCCTGAGCTGAAAATGTATTTGCAAAATGACAAAAGCTAAGAAAATAGCTGTGTGTTTAGGAAAGCAATGCAAAATTTTTTTAATTAAGAAAAAATTGGGGAACTCAGGAACATTTTCATTTCCCAATACTTTTGCAGTTAGTTCGGGACCACATGACTGAATTCTGGCCAATAGAGTGCAGGGAGTAGTGAAGTGTCCCATCCCAAGCATGGCCAACACAGATGTTCACTTGTGTGCTCCTGCACTCTCTTCTCCAACTCTAGCACACTTGGTGGCCACATATGGAAGGTCACAGAATCACAAGATGGAAGGAACCTGTGCCCTTCAATGACTTTGAAAGAACAGTGACCTACTCTCCATCCTACCTCACTCTGGAGTCATAGATAAGCAAAAACAACAACAAACTCTCTATTGGAGTAAGCCAGTAAGATTTGGTTGTTGTTAGAATGATTGAGCAGCTATAACTAATGCATCCTGTTCAGCTCACTCCATGAAACACTGTCCAAGTGCTAGACAGATAATAGAGAGCAGAGGAGGCAGGAGAGCCTTTCTGTCTTTCTCTCAGAGCCCATTTGCACTAATTAGATTCAATCAGAATTAGATTCTTCATCGAACTGTCATTGAGCCTGAGTCCTGAGCTCTGAGGCTGATTCAGAAGGCATATAGCCTGCAGGTAGTAGAAATGGGTTCAGCTGCTTTTTATGACACCCCTTCTCCCCACTGGTGGGGGAGACCTCAGAAGCAGGTATGAAAAAGTATGGGAAATAACTCTTTCTGGCCCAGAGCTCAGGGTCAGCACCTGTCCTCTGCCAACCCCACCTCCCTGGCCCCAACATGCTGAGGTTGCCATCTCATGCCTATCCTTAGGCTATGGGCTTTTGATCAGCTCCCAAATCATAATCCTAAGGGGAGCAACCCCTTCAGGTCCCCTCCTACTGTGGGAGCTTTTGTATCCTCTCAATAAATCCTGTTTTCTAAAAAAAAAAAACAAAACAAGAATCCTATGGGGATATCTATATAGAAAGTTAATAGGAACTCTTAAGGGTTGAATTGTATCCCCTCTCAGATTCATATGTTGAACTCCTAAACCCCAGGACTTCAGAGATGACACTATTTAGAAATGTTAGGATGAGACCCTACTCCAATGGAACTAGTGTCCTTTAAGAATAGGAACACAAGAGCACAGGAGAAAGAACATATGAGGACACTGTGAGAAAATGACTGTTTGCAAGCCAGGGGAGAGGCCTCAGGAGAAACCAAACCTGCCAACGCCTTGATCTTGGACTTCTAGTCACCAGAACTCTGAGAAAATAAATTCCTGTTGTTGAAGCCACCCATCTGTGGATTTTGTTTTGACAGTCCTCGCAAACCAACACAGAGCAACGCTCACACTCAACATCACTCAAAACTGGAAGGCACTTCTCTGTCCTATATTTGGGAAACTCTCATTTTTGCCACAGCCGACTCGTCTATGCAGGAACACTGAAGCATCCCTAGCCTGGTGTCAAATCCTCTACAAAGAAATACATTCTACTTAAGCCGACAAACTGAACATTTCAAACTGCACTTTTCCCACAGTTGTTTATGAAACTTCATGAGTGCCTGCAGACAAGGAAAAAGTGTGCTGGTTGAAGAGACACGGGTATAATACAGGCCTGGAGAATGACTGCTGAACACATCTCATTCAGAGTCAAGAAATCTTTAAAATGAAAACTCCCTCAAGTATATTTTTAAAGAAAAATGAAGCACTCAGGACCAAGGGCAATGTAGTAAGAAGTTCTTCTTCCTTCTTTTTTTTTTTTTTTTCCTGAAATGGGAAATACAATTTAAGAAAACAAAACCAAATGCCATAAAAAATAAAGATAAAAATTTAAAACTTTGGAAAGTTCATGATTTTAAATGGACAGTTCAGTTGGTCATTTTTTTCTCTTGTAATATTGCTCATCTATATCAGAGAACTGTGAGATTTTCCTTAATCCAAATATATATGATTCAGATTTAAAATGATTAACAAGTTATTGGGCTGCAGCACCTGAGTTTGGGACACTGCTTTTCAGACACCCTAAAATATATCACTTAGAGATGGGAAAAGATTTCAACATATCCTCCTGACAGAGACTTACTCAGACTATAAAGGAAACTAAGTCCGATGGTGCATATAAATTAAGACCATGTGGTGAAGTTTGACGTGATTGAGTTCTGAGAAGGGGACTGTACCGAAAGAAAAGACAATGGAACATTACTAGATACCCGAGGCTCTAGACAAGAGGTGGGAAAATTATGGACTGTGGGCCAAATCCCACCATGCCCATTTAATTTCCTATCTTCTATGGTTGCTTTCAACCTACAGCCACAGAGTTGAGTAATTGCCGCAGAGACCATATGGCTTGCAAAACAGAAATTCATTGCTATCTGACCCTTTACAGAAAAACTTTGCCTAATCCTTCTATAGGGATCAAACCAAAACAAATGAGTGCATTATGATAGAGCAAGGAATATCAGTGCCGCATCTCCAAAAAGCACCTCTCTGGGTGTGGAGTGAGCAGAATCCAACCCCGGAAGACCATGGCTCTGGACCAATGTTATGACTCTCACATTTCTTCCAGTCATTAGGAAAAGGCAGTTGGTTTCTGAAGATTCAGGATGCACCTGACCTACCTTCCCTCGGCCTTGTTTTGGGCTTTGCTGTAGGGCTCGACTCATACAGCAATATGGCCACCTGTTGGCCTCCAAGCTGGCCTCCTTTCCTGTGTCTAGGATGAGACAATAAGGCCAGCCACCAAAGCTCTTCTTCTCCTTCCATCAGAAATTGCATTGGTACCTTTCTAACCTTATCCACACCAATCAGAACATTTATAGAAATAAATAACGGCTAGACACAACATGCCTGTAATCCCAGCACTTTGGGAGGCCAAGGCAAGAGAATCAGTTGAGGCCAGAAATTTGAGACCAGCCTGGGCAACATAATGAGACCCTATCTCTACCGAAAAAAAAAAAAAAAAAGAAAATTAAAAATTAGCCAGTCACAAGTCTGTAGTCCCAGCTACTAGGGAGGCTGAAGCAAAAGGATCACTTGAGGCCAGGAGTTAGAGGCTGCAGTGAGCTATAATCGGGGCATGGCCCTCCAGCCTGGGTGATAGAGCTAGAAAGTATCTCTAAAATAAATAAACAAATAAATAAATCACCTATCCTCCATAAGCATCTAGGAAGCCCTGGCTAGAATATTAGGCATCATGTCTGATAAGCATTAAGCCCTCACATATTTATTCAACAAGTGAAACCTATCCCACACAGACCACCAGCTCATACTTTCCAACTCTAGCAGGTCTCTAGCTGGGCTTCCCTGGGGTCAGTCCTCACCAAAATGGAGGTAAAAGCTTGGCAGCAGAGACTGAGTTAAATGAGATACCCAGTCTGCTGCACTATGAAGGTGTTGCCTTTGCCTGTGGGTCTCTCTTTCCCTGCTTTCTTGGTCCCTTTGATTTCCTGGGTCCTTTCCCGGAGGAAGCTACTGATGGTATATGTAGGTATAAAACCTTGAACCTCGTGCCTTCCCCTTGGGCAATAGTCTCCTCAAGTTCTGTTACTTACCTGCCTTATCCTTGATTGCTTGGAATCTTAGACTTTGCGCCTATCTTTCCCTGGCCTTCCATTCAGTCTCCTTAAGATTCCCAGCTAGCCCCAAAGTCACACGAAACCATCAGATTAAATCAAGGCGTTCTGACACCATCTGCACGCAGAGCAGAAAGAGTCTGGGATGGTATTTGTAATATTTTCTAAGATAGGCTCATCTCTCCTTTCTGGATGTGCCTATTGCAGTTATTATGAATCATTAACTAAAACCTATGAGCAGCTCGTTCCCCGCCTCCAGCCCGCCCCTCCCTTCTCAGACCCTTCACTGCTCAGGCCTAGTCTTCAGTTCTTTCTTCTCCCAGCCCTGCTACTTTGGATCTCTGACTTCCTTTGCACTAAGATTATTATAATTGGAGAACTGCCCTACGACATTCAGATGTACCTGACGAGACGCAGACTCTCTGAGGATTCATTTTTTTCCATTTTTCCTCAGCTGGGTTTATTTATAGGCACAGGTTTGACATTACCTGAAATCAGTTATGTTTGTTTTGTTTTTTTAACTGCACAAGGAGACATTCATTTTTGTTCCTCATGGAAGGAAGTAGGGCAGATATCAAGGCCCAATGTCTTTGCCCTTCATCAAAAAAATTCTTTTAGACACTGACTCAGAGCCTCTTAAGTAGACCAGAATTCCTCACCACAGTCAGTCTTTTAGAGGAAAATGCCAGTGAGTGAAAGCAAAGATAACTCAAAGCACATAGAGGCCAAATTTAGCTTGACATCCTCATTAAAAAATCGACCCCCATGTGAGTTTTGTCTGAAAATGGGCTATGGGAAAGAGGTCAGTTCAACTGAATGTGTTAACAGGTTTTTTTTTTTAGTGTCATACACATCGAAAGTAAGTTGCCAGTTAAACCTCAGGCTCAAATGACTTTCCTTGCTGACATATGGCGTTAACTTAAGGGAACACATCAGCTAGATAATATTACCATTGTTAATTCCATGTGTTTACGGTTGCACCTTTGATGTATGGCATGTGGAGTGCTTTGCCAGCGTCAGCTTACTGATCTTCCTCACCACCTTCTGTGACATGTAGGGGCTGCTTTCATCCCCTCACCTCACTGAGAAGCTAAGAAGTGGAATGTCTAAAGTCATCAGCTTGTTATGACAAAGCTAAGAAAGAATCCTGCAACCCGTGAGTCCTGTCTAATTCAGCTTCCTGACTATTAAGACTCAGCTGCTTTAATGGAGATTCAATAAACTGCTTAGCTCCTGGCTTCTGCCCCTCTTCAAACATATGGCTACAGGTACAGGCAGGGGGTACAGGAAAACTTCACTCTGATCTGACATTAATTTTAAAGCACAGCATCAGATTTTTTGTATTTTTCCTTCTAGGCTCAACATTATCAATCAATTTCCCATCCAAGTACTGACGAGGTCCAACCCTGCTTAGCTTCCAAGATCAGATGAGATCGGGTGCATTCAGGGCGGTGTGGCTGTAGACATCAGTCAATTTCTTGAATACCCAAGAAAGAGACTTGTGATAGGGAGATCCAGACAATATATACTGTTCTTGTACATATAATTGTTTGTGTGTGTATATGTGTGTGTGTGTGTGTGTGTGTGTGTGTGTGTGTGTGTGTATTATCTTGAGTCTCATCTGGGAGTGGAAACTGCTCAAATATAAGAAAATCATAAAAGCTGATAGTGATTGTATTAACATGGTGATCTTACTAGAAAGAGCCTGGTATAGAGTTGGAACGAGTTTCTTTGGTAATATTCCAACAAGGGTCATACAAGCAGCCAAACACAATGAGTTCTGTTCGGTCAGGGATTCTGAAATGGGGAACTGTGGCTCATCAGAATAATCTTAGATACCTAAGATTTTCTATTTCTTCGTCTTTCTCTGAAAGCTTTCGTTCCAGTTCCGCTTTCACTTCCAAGAGTTCCAGCTGGAAGCGAAGAATCTTGCTTTCATTGCATTCCAGAACTCCCTGAAATACACAAATACAAAAAACTAAATGGAGTCCACTATTTGGATAACTTTTTCCCCCTCAAAGCGTAGTCATTAACGTAGCTCTTTTGAGAGCTGCTTGGCGAGATCGAGGTTCGAGTCAGGTCCATACAGATCGCCACAGGATGAGACAAGCAATGGCTCTCATTCGTCATTTCATGTGTAGCTTTGACATTCTTGGGTCTTTCTGTTGTAGCTCCAGAAGTAAAATTCTAAAGCATGTTTTAAAAATAGAAAATTTCAATCTACTCTATGACGATTTAAAACTTTTTAATGTATTACTCTTGACTTAAAAAAAAAAAACATATTCCATCTAGGAGAGGAATTTTAAAAAGGATCAAAGCTAGAACAAGGACGTTGATAACTCCTACCTGGAATCTTTTATTCAATTCTGGGCATAGGAATAGAGGAAAAGTTAAATGTATTCAGAGAACAAGCAACAGGAAAAGTGCCCAAATATTGTCATATATATATAAAAAACAAAAACAAAGGATTTTAAAAAGTACTTGAGAAATAACACTCAGTGAGAGCTATTATCACCATGATGAGTACCACTACCACAAATGGATTGCTTTGACAGGGAGGAAGAGCCCTTGCCCCCTGAGTATTTAAGTATAGGCAAGGCAGTTATTGCCAGGGATGTTATAAAAGCAATTCAATTTTAAAAGGTTTGACTAAATCTTTAAAGCCCAAAGATGAAATGTATGAAGGAAAAAAAAAAAAAAAAAGCAACAAACCCAAAAAATACTCAGAGGATACTGATGATGTAAGGGCACAGGTAGTGATGCAACCTATTGGTCAATTAGTTACGGGTAGTCCTGAGGGCAGAAGTAATGTTTCATAACCTTTCTTGAAGAGTGCTTAACACACAGCACCAAAAATATAAAGTAAAACCAAGTCACAATTTTAAAATAAAAATAAGACACTGAGAATGTAATAAGGCCTCCCTTGCTGTTCTCTTGACACTACCGTCAATATAAAAGAAAATAAACCGCAAAAACAGGTGCTTGGGTAGCAATTTCCTCTGAGGGAATGGTGTTGTTCCTTCGGGGGGAAATTGTCACCTCTAACCCTCTACAAGTACTGAAGAAGCAAATCTTAGAGACGGTGTCCTGGGATAATTTGAGTTTTATGGCTATAAAAAAACTGATAAAGTTTCTCATAAAAGCTCACCCAGGAAAATAAATAACCCAGTGTTACAAATACATGTCCAAGTTGATGAAGTATTATTTAAGGATGTGGCTGAAGCTAGAACTTGAGAAAATGTGCATAGAATATGTTGCCATCTAGTGGTGCTACATGGTATGAGCACTATGGCCTTAATGTCATTCTCATCCTTGACGTGGGGGTGCTGGTCAATTTCACATACCCAGAGGCCTGTATGTTATACAGGACTCAAATCACCCCTGCTAACTATATTTCTCATTTGGCTTGAAAAAAATTACTTCAGTTAAGGTGGTAGCTTCAAAAAGTCCCTAGCCAGGATGGCCAGAGAACCAAAGAGAACAAGTAAACAAAACAAATTCCTCCAACCTTGCTAGGGGACACCATACTGCTAATGGAAACAATTAAATATAAGATGTAGAAGACCTTGGAAAACACTTACACATCAAGGGGCAAGAGCTAGGTCAAGTGCTGGACCCTTGACAATACTACATCCAGGGCAATACAAACGCATCTTCCTGGCATATTTCTTCCATAATTGTAATGGTGAGGTAAACTTAACATGCAATGTTTGGCCCAGAGCAATCCTTGGGGGCCTAATTTCTTACTGCCATGCCTTCCAAAAGGTCCCTGCCTAAAATTGACTGCCATGCCTTTCAAAAATCGTTTTCTCGACTGGTGGGTGGGGTAGATAGGGACTGTATTTTTAACCTGTTCAGGTGCTTATTCAAAGGTGAGTCATGAAGATGAAATTCCACTGTGAGAAAGGGGCTATGTAGGACTTGTTAACTACCTAAAAACTATGGCAGAATAGCTTCCTTTTTAGTTTACTTTCTTCTTTGGCAAAAAGTCATCTTAGTGACCCTTTCAATGGCTAACACACAGCCAGGGGTAAAGCCAGAGACTTTTCCTGAACTATGAATCCATAACACTGAAAACCCTCCTCTTCTGTAATCTGCACAAAAATGAACTCTCAAAAACAAAGATGAGCTCTCAGAAGCATCATTTTGAATCTCATTTTCAAAACTACCTACCATTTATTGAAAAAAAGATAGCCATGAGAACATTTATTCATTCAACGTTGGACAAATATTTACTGAGCCTCTACTATATGCAGACAATGTTCTAGGTCAGTGCTTCTCAAATATTAATGTGCATACAAACCACCCAGGGGTTTTATTAAAATGCAGATTCTGGTTCAACAGAGATGGGTAGAGGGCTGAAAGTGATTTGTATCACACTCCCATGTGATGTCCAGGGGCCACATTTTGAGTAGTCAGGGTCTAAGCACTAGGAATGCACCGGTGAACAAGACAGAAATGTTTCCTGCTTTCACTATAATCAGGAGATTTATATTCACTGTTGTTTCTCCTGCTCTCTGGGTCTCAATTTTCCCTTTTTAAAAATGGGGACAAGTTTGTTGGAGTGACTACATTAAAAAATGCACATCAAGCACTTGGCATCATGCCTAGCATGTAGTAAACACTTCAGTAAGTGTCTTTGTGCTGTCGCTGCTGTTATTGCTAGAATGCAGATCTTCTGCTTTGTCACAATGAAAACTTTCTCTTTTCCCTGGTGATAATTACCTCTGCTTCTTCCAGGGTCACCTGGACTTCAGTCTTCTCTTGTTCAATCAGTTTCTTGACCTTTTCCATTTCAGTTAAGTTCTTGGCTCCTTCTCTAACTTGGTTTGTCAGATTAGAAATCTCTTCTGGAGAGAGAGTAAAGAAAAGCAACATCAGTGAATGGGCTCAGTCTCGGACCCATGAAATCAGGCACAACACACTGTTCTGGCCCACTGGGACTGTGGTCGTGCCATGCTTCATAACTTGATGGCAGGGCCATCGCTAGCCCTTGTGGGACCTAGAAATTAGAAAGAAGCATCTGTCCTTAGATGTATTATTTTGCCATCAGAAAGTTGTCTACACCAATTGTTGAGGATGGAGCTTTATGGAGTGTCGAACACTGGACAACCTGTACAACTTTATATGGTAGTCCTGCTTGTCAGAATCATGCCAGATGCCACCTAGAGGAACACAGGCCTGGAGTCCCTACACTTCCAGTGTAAGTGCTTTGCTATCAACACCAGTGGCTGCTGTTGTGCTAGCTACTGCTCAACATGAAGACAAACTTACAGCTGAAACTAGGTCAGCTAAGTTACAAGATCAGGAGGGGCTCAGGGAAGACAATGGCTTCACCTCAAGCACTCGGGGCTTTGGGGCTAGCCCCTCACGAATACAAGCCTTTGATAGAAGTTGGCATGCAGAAGTCACAAAGCTTCTGCCATCTGGTATTGCTCTGGTCAGTTCTGCCTCTTTGTGAAGGAAGCCTCTAGCACCTAACAGATATGTATGTGGAGAGCCAAGTGGCTCTGGGAATTATCCAGTCCAGAGGTGGTGGAGGGAGCCCAACAGGTCACCGGTTCCTCTGGCTCTGAGATACAGAACTACGATGTGATACAACAAGAGTTTTTTTTGTTTTGTTTTTTTTGAGTTGGAGTCTCACTCTGTCGCCTAGATTGGAGTGCAGTGGCCGCTCCCGGCCACCACAGCCTCGACCTGCTGGGCTTCGGTAATCCTTCCGCCTCAGCCTTCCGAGTAGCCGGAATTACAGGTGCGTGCTACCACGCCCAGCTGATTTTTTGATTTATTGTAGAGATGAGGTCTCGCTGCCCAGGTGGGTCTCGAACCCGTGGGCTCAGGCAATCCATTCACCTCAGCCTCCCAAAGGCGCGGGATTACAGGCTGAGCCACTGAGCCCGGCTGACAAGAGTTTTTTAAAAGTTACAAAAACAAACATGTTACATGGAAATTCTCAACGAATAATGAATTTTCTGATAAGCACTCTCCAGAAGAGGCGTTTCCAAGGGAAAACTCAGGGCAGTGGTTCTCACCTTAGCATCAACTGGAGAGCTTTTGAAAACACTCTTCAAACTGGATAAAGAAAATGTGGTATACATACATGATGGAATACTATGCAGCCATAAAGAAAAACGAAACCATGGACTTTGCAGCAACTTGAATGCAGTTGGAGACCATCATACTATGGAAACTATCACAGAAACAAAGAACCGAATACTGCTGGCTTTCACTCATGAGCAGGCCCTGAACACTAGTCACATTAGCACAAGAGTGGGATTGGCAGATAATGGGCACTGCTGGGGGAGGGAGAAAGGGAGGCATGTAGCAACACAAAGGGTATGGTCCACTACCAAGGGGAGAAAGGGTCACCTAAAAGCCCAGACTTCACCTGCATGCAGCCTTTGGTAACAAATCTTCATTTATACCCCACTACCATTATAAATTTAAAAAAAAAAGAGAGAGAGAGAAAACACTCCTCAAGCTCCAAACCCCACCTAGACCAGGTGGTCTCCAGGCTATTGGCCTCACCTGGGAATCTGTCATAAATGCAAATTCTCAGGCCCCATCCTAGACCTACTGGATCAGAAACTCTGGGGGTGGGCCCAGCCATCAGTGCTTTAACAAGCCCTCTGGATACAGCTTATGCTTTCTAACTACTCTGCTAACACCCCTCACATACCCAGTCGGTGACCTGATCTTGAGCTATGTAGGTCAACAGAGAAAGCAAGTTTCATTTACACCTCCAACAGTAATGAACTTGCTTCCAGGACATCTCGGGGTTTTTACACCATTGCTGTTGGTACTGGTGTAAGTTGGCAGGTTCTTTGAAGGCTGTCTGGCAGCATATCCAAGTTTTAAAATTCATTCCTTTAACCCAGCAATTTCATTTCTAGGGATCTGAGAAATTTTTTTAAGTGTGCAAATGCATGCACAGGAATATATGATTTATTTATATTTGTGAATTGGATCAAAAATGAATAAGGTTAAATAGTTAAATAGCATTCATTCTTATAAAACATGATAGAGCTATTAAAAAGCACATAGTAGGTCTCCATGTGTGGGCTGCAAAGAGCCATAGGGTCCCTGGGAAGGCTTTATAGCTTAGTAGTTAAGTTGTATACGCAGAAGTCATGCTGGCTGGGCTCAAATCCCGGATCTGAATATGTGAATTACATAGCAAATGTGAATTTGGACAAGGAACTCAACCTTGGGACCAACAGAATCTCCATTTTTCAGAGGAAGAAACTAACACTAATACTGTTCAGAGAGTGGACGGATGCCCCAGGGCATCTGGATTGGGGAGCTGGTGGCTGGGTAGGGAGGTGGGACATTTGCTTTGATGTCACAGTTGTGGGAGGGCAGGTCCTTATAAAGAAGTCTCCTTTATAAGGTGGCTGGTGCTTCAGATGGTCTAGCCTTGCACTTGTACATTCTTGTAAAGGAGAAAGGGATAGAAAACATCATTTAATAGCCTAAGAGCAAAGCAGCCTTGAAAAGAAAAGAAAAAGAGACTATTCTGAGAATTAAACAATGAATAATGAATAGCTATAGATAGAACAGAGCCTGGGGCATAGTATGTGCTATAGAAATATGCATTAAACTAGAAAATATATTCACAAGTGAAAAAGTAAAAGGTGTGGAACAATGTGCAATTTGAGTAAAAAATACTCACATGAATACAGTATATATACCACATTTTCTTTACCCAGTCCACTTTCAATGGGCAGCATGGTTGGTTTCATGTTTTTGCTATTGTGAATAGTGCAGCAATAAACATGCATGTGCAAGTATCTTTTTTGTAGAATGATTTGTGCTCCTCCAGGTATATTCCCAGGAGGAGAATTGCTGGATTGTATGGAAGGTAATTTCTAGCTCCTCTAAATATCACCACATGATTTTCCATAGAGGTTGGACTAGTTTGCATTCTCACCACCAGTGTAGAAGCGTCTCCTTTTCTCTGTGCCCATCTATTGCTTTTTGATTTATTAATGATGGCCATCCTTACTAGGGTAAGATGGTATCTCGGTGTGGTTTTGATTTGCTTTACTCTATGATTAGTGAGGCTGAGCATTTTTTCATGTATCTATTGCATTTTCATGCCCCCACCATGTTTTATTTATTTATTTTTTAAAAAAATTTTATAAAGATGTGGGGTACACTTTAGAAGACATATGGCTGCCCTACGTCTTCTTTATGCAGCCATAACGAAGGACAAAATCATGAACTTCTCAGCAAATTGGATGGGATTGGAGGCACTCATAATTAGCAATCTATCACAGAAAAAAATATCTGAATACCATGTGTTCTTACTCATAAGGGGGACCTGAGCCTTAATCACAAAAGCACAAGGGAGGGATCAGCAGTCATGGGAAACTGCCAGGGGAGAGGGGTAGGGAGGGCACAAAATAACATAAAGGGTACCTGATCCTAAACCAGGGGAAGTGAGGACCAGTTGGAGGCCCAAGCTTTACCTGCACATATGTCACTTATGTACCTAATCCTGACTTGCACCCCACATCTTTATAATAAAATCAAGTTCAACAACAACAGCAAAAAATACAATATATACATGGAAGCACTATGGATAACAAGAAATTCTCAATGGTAGCTTCCTTTATGAAGTGGAACTGAAGCTGAAAGCAAGAAACTGATTTGACTGTCAGAATTGATTTACTACAATGAACATCTGCAATTTTTTTTAGAGAAAAATCAAACAGAAGTAGTAAAGATTAAAAGTTAAAACATGGTGGCCCTTATGGAAATTGCAACTGGCAACCGATTCTTGATCAGAACCCTAAATGCCCATACCTTAAGAAATACGATAGACAAGTGGGACCTCATCAAACTAACAAGCTTCTGCAAAGCAAAAGAAACCATCAAGAGAGCAGGGAGACAGCTCACAACATGGGAAAAAATATTTGACAACTGTGTATCTGATAAAGGCCTAATATCTAGGATCTACAAGGAACTCAAATTGCTGAAAGAAAAAAAACAAACAGCCCCATTAAAAAGTGGGCAAAAGACATGAATAGACATTTCTCAAAAGAAGATATACGGGCAGCCAACAGACACAAGAAAAAGTGTTCAGCCTCACTCATCATCAGATAAATGCAAATCAAAACCACATTGAGATACCACCTAATCCCAGTAAGAATGGCCATCATTAATAAATGATGCGAGGATGCGGAGAAATAGGAATGCTTCTACACTGCTGGTGGGAATGCAAACTAGTACAACCTCTTTGGAAGACAGTGTGGTGATTTCTGAAAGAACTAGAAATTGACCTTCTATATGACCCAGCAATTCTCCTATTGGGAATATACCTGAGGGAACTCAAATCATTCTACAAAAAAGATACCTGCGCATGAATGTTTGTTGTAGCTCTATTCACAATAGCAAAACCATGGAACCAACCATGCTACCCATTGAAGCTGGACTGGATTTTAAAAATGTGGTATATATACACAATGGGATCTTACACAGCCAGCCATAAAGAAGGACAAACATATGGACTTCGCAGCAACTTGGATGGATTTAGAGTCTATCATACTCAGTGATCTATCATAGAAATAAAGAACAGAGTACCATATGTTCTCACTCATAAGTGGACCTTGAACAATTTTAATACTATAAAAAAGGGATTGGCAGTAGTGCAAAACTATCAGGGGAGGAGGGTGGGATTGGCAATTGAAGGAAACTGCTAGGGGAAGGTGGGGCACACCTCATCAACAAGGATACCTGTATAATCAATGTTTGTATACCTAACCCTAAAGTGTAGCCCACATCTTTATGAAATTTTTTTTTTAAATAAATAAATAAAACATGGTGGGGACATGAAAATGCAAGGCCTTCTCACAGAAGACCTCCTTGCCCTATGGCCAGGATCCTCCTGGAGATCTCTACTCTGGCTTCCAACCCAACTCCCAGTACCTTGGAGAGTCTCATTCTCCCTCCTGAGTGCCTCCTGGCCCATGGCACTCTCCTCATAAGCATGCTTGAACTTGAGGAGCTCAGCTCTGAGGGCCCGGACCTCCTTCTGAGAGGCATCCAGCAACTCCTGGTCCTCCGTGTGCTTCTGCTTCCAGTCGGCGAGGGCCTGGTCAGACTGCTGCTGCTTCTGGTCCAGCCTAGCTGCCACCGAATGGGCTTTCCCAAGGTCACATAGGGCGTCCCCGAGCTCCAGCTGCAGCCAGTGCCTGGACCTCTCCAGGGAGACGTTTCTGGCATTGGCTACCCCCATGGCATCGGTTGCTTCCTGCAACCTAATTGCCAGCTTCTTCCTGAGAAGGGAACACCCAAAGAGTTGGTGAGGCAACAACTCTCAGAGACCTCATTACATCTGCCTTGGATTAAAGACAGGGCTTGGGTTCAAAGAAGGGTGGCCTCTGGGGTAGGCTTGATGGTCCAGAGCAAAAGCAGCTCATGTCTGTACCTGCAGAACCCAGATGTCTGTGACCACCATCCTCTGACTCTTGGGTACACGCAGTCTTTACCCTCCCCCACCCTTGGCCAACCTGGACTTGAAGCGCAGAATCTTTTTGAATTCTTATAAATATTTGCTGATCCTGAAGCTCTACCAAGCAATACAAGCTTTATGGATGATTTTGTAAGAAATGAGGAAAAGAAGAAGATGGTACGGAACATCCTACCAGCAGTAAGCTACTTACAAACTCTGAGTGGTCACTAGGAGTTCCTTGGCTGTGCTGCTTCTAAGGAGCGCTCTTGCTCTCTCCTGCTCACCCACTCTCCTCATCCCGTGGTCCTAAACGTACCACGATTCAAAACACCTATGTCCATCTCATCATTATGCTCACATAGCAGGTCATCCTGCCCCCAGAGGCCACTTTAGCCTCCTCCTGCTGTCTCCTGGCATCTCTGAGATGGAGTGGTTTATCCCAGTGCCTCCTCCATCGATTCCATCATACATTGCTCTTAGGAATACTAATGAAAGAAATATGTTATTTTGCTTATGTTTCCTGCAGTAATGCTGGCAAACCCATTCTTACTCATCCATTACACTTCTTAGATGCAAGGGACTGTATGTACCAAGCTGTTTCTGATCTACAGCTATTAACCAGAAGAAAGGTCCTTGGAAATTAACAGGGGCCACAACTAGCTCGACAGAGCAATGTGGTAATAAAAGCCTCTTTTGGTGCAAAAACCTGTGTGTGCTCAGTATCCAGGAAGGATCTGAGCTCTAACAATTCCCTGCTCACTGGCTTTCTAACCAGAGTCATTTCACTTCTTTGATTCATGTTTCTCAACCGTTAAGAGGAAATTCTGATGCTTTACCCAGACTTAGAAGTCACGTAAAATAATTACGTGTATTTTAACTACTTTAGAAATACTCGATTGGGCTGTGTGCAGTGGCTCACACCAGTAACCCCAGCACTTTGGAAGGGCAAGGAGGGAGGATCACTTGAGCCCATGAGTTTGAGACCAGCTTGGGCAACATAGTGAGACCTCGTCTCTACAAAAAAAAAAAAATTAAAAACAAGCTGGGCATGATGGGCACATCTGTAGTCCCAGTTGGAAAGACAGGAAGATTGCTTGAGCCCAGGAGGTCAAGGTTGTAGTGAGCCATAATCGTGCCACTATACTCCAGCCTGGGCAACAGAGTGAGATCCTGGTGAAAAAGAGAGAAAGAAAAAGGAAAGGAAAAAAATACTTGATTGATCGCAGAAAAAAAAAAAAGAAGCTTTACTTTGGGTAACCAACTATGCTGGTCTGCCTGTGACTGAGGAGTTTCACCAGGACATGAGAATTTGATGCCAAAACAGGAAAGGTCTAGGGCAAACTGGACAAATGGGTCATGCTCATTTTACTGATAATTTTGTTCCACATTTAATACCAACTACTATTATGCTTCTTAACTTGCCAACTATAAGCACCTTCTTAGCCTCCTAGAATATATAAGGGGACATAGGAAATCAAGAAACTAAATCCTTATCCTCGGGGAACTTAGAATTCAGAAGCAGTAAATTGGGTCTCGGGTGAGTTTGATTCTGCTAAACTAACTCATTATATGAACTCCAGCCTGAAAATCAAAGCAGGCAGATCTTCAACTTCAATTAAAAACCAAACAAACAGGACCCTAGAATTCTTTTTTTTCTTTTTTTTTTTCTGGTAGCTGCCTACCTCGCTGAGGTGATTTAGAGCAAAAGCATAGTCCAGACAAAACTCTGTTTGCTTGCTATTCAACTAATTTTAAAGCAAAAGGGGTCTTCAGATATTATCATGTTTACCCATTATTTCTCTTTAGTTGTCACATACCACAGAACTAGTTCCAATGAACCCATGTGGTCATAAAGTAGCATTTTCAATCCCCCATTCCAAAGAAACCATCAAACAAAATGGCAGACACTTTCACCTGAACCCTTCAATCATTAGCTAGAAAAGAAAATCTTACTTCAGAGGAAAAGTCTGTATTTGGAGATGAGGAAGCATCTCAGTTCAAAGTCAAAACTTTCTGTGGTCCGGAGTTTTGATAAAACACCTAGTGCAGATATTCTTAGTATCTGTCATTCCAAAGCCCTTTTTAAGTTACTGCAGATACAGAGATGGATCACTTGGTACCCCTTCTGGGACAGAACACAGCAGCTGTTCAAGCAACTGCACAGTAATGCCTCTCAAAGATTTAGGTGAGGAACTGAAAAACATTATTTCTGGTTGAAGCTAAAGAGAAATGTATTGATCTGCCCTGGATTTTCGCCAAGCTACCAAGCCAGGGACACATTCTTTTGAGTAAACCTTTAATGATTATAAGCTGTGGTTAGTTTGACACTTTCTCTCAAAGACACACGGTTCCTCTACCTCTAAGCAAAACGCTTAGTACTACATCCTGATACTAAGTCTCGATTCAGCTGGGCTCCAAACGTCCATAGTTCCTGAAAAGAACCTTTAAAACATTTATGTGGCATTGGCTGTAAAATTGATATCCTAATCTTAGGGGTGGCCTGGGTATGATTTCTTTTCAAAGCAACCACTATCCTACAAGGCATGATGACAGATTCTAACATGTTTCCTACTATTCTGGTTCATCTTCACAGACCACTTTGTAGTCTACAAGTTGTAGACCAGAGATCCAATGACTTTGATATATGGAGACATGTACACATATGGGTCGTTATTTTGGTGTTCCAAATGAAATACGGGATTTTAAGATACCCCATTTTGAAACCATAGCTCAAAGTCACCTCTTTTATGAAGACTTCCCTTGTGCCCCCAGAAAGAGCCTTCTTTCTCTCCTTAGGACCTCTTTATAGTCTCTGTCACTTTGTATCATATTTCTCATTTCTTTTATTTTTAGCCCCTCTAGAGCGTGGTGACTGTTTCAGCTTTGGTGGGGGACTTGTTCGTGCACTCAGCAAGGAATTGTTAAGGGCATACCATTTGGCCTTGGAGACACGGACGTTATACTCTGACTCGTCTGTGTGACTAACTCTGGGGGTAGCCTTGCCCTACTCACTTGGCGTCCTCCAAGTCTTCAGCATTCTGGATGGCATTGTTTTCGTACTTCATTCTCCACTGCACCTTTTCAGCATTGCCTTTGGATAGGGCCCTGTGCAGCTCGGCCTTGACCTCTTGCTCTTCTTCGTACTGTTCCCGCAGAAGGTCACAGTCACGCTGGGCTGACTGTAGGGCATGGGCCAGGGCGCTCTGGGACTACAGGGGACACACATTTTTTTTTTTTTAAAAAAGGCACTGCCACCATTAACAACGAAAGGCTTGAAGGTGAGATCATCTTTTTTAGATAAGGTTAATAACAACCTGCCACAAATTCAAGTTGAATCTGAACCTAGTAAGATAATACCAGGGAGAGAATTCGGGACAAGAAGAGAAACGATAGAGTGTATCTAATTGCTGCCATTAGAACAGGGAAGGGAATTCTATTTAGGGAAAAGCCAGCTTGACTATGGGGGCTTCAACGATACACAGGCCTGGAGTTCTAGAAATAGTGAAGAACCCAAAAGTAGCAAGGAGAACCGTACCATTTAGGCAACAAGATTTCTGTTTGGCAATATATGAAGCTCAGATCTTGTCTGAGTCAGAAAGAGCCACTGAAATTTAGTCTAGCCTCTGCATTCCATTGATGAGAAAAGTTAAATCTTTTATTTCACATTTAAATCTCTGAAAACCTCTGCTCTTACCACTTTAAAGCAGTGCTGCCTGACGGAATTTTCTTTCTTCTTTTTTCTTTTTTTTTTTGAGTTGGAGTTTCACTCTGTCGCCCAGACTGGAGTGCAGTGGCCACTCCCGGCCACCGCAGCCTCGACGTGCTGGGCTCCGTCGATCCTTCCACCTCAGCCTTTCAGTAACCAGAACTACAGTCGCACACTACCATGCCCGGCTAATTTTTTAAATTTATTGTAGAGCTGAGGTCTCGCCAAGTTGCCCAGGCAGGTCTCGAACCCACGGGCTCAGGCAATCCACTCACTTCAGCCTCCCAAAGCGCGGGATTAGAGGCTGAGACACCAAGCCTGGCTTTGGAATTGTCTATATTGATGAAATATTCTATTCAACACTGTCCAATTGGATAACCACTGGACACATGCAGCTATTGAACTCTCAAAATGTGCCCAGAACATGTATGGTCAAAACTTAACTTTTAATTTTATTAAACTTTAATTAATATAAGGTTAAAGTTAGATAGCCACAAGTAGTATAGTAGTGGCTCCTATGTTTTTTGCCAGCTGAGTTGAGTTTAATAAACATTTTTACCATTTAAATGGTGATCTAATGGTACCCCACATCTTTAAAATAAATAGAGAGCTAGATGATAGATAGATAGATAGATAGTGATCTATCTCACCTAGCAACATTATTCCCAGGAGATAACTTAGTGTAGTGGAAAGAACCAGGGCCCTGACTGGTCCTCATGGGTCCTTTAAGCAAACTAGAAAAAACATCTTTTCAGACAGTCAGTTCCCAAGGCACAAGGCTCAGGAAACGGCAGCCTCAGCCAGACACCTTTGGCTAGTAAATGAGGAACACCAAAGCACAGTGACTCTGAGAAGGACACAGGCTTTGGAATCTGATAAACTTGGATTCATATCGAACCTTTCCCTTATTTAATTTTATTTTACATAATAATAAAAACTTTAAAAACCCTTAGGTGGCATCCATGCATTGAGCTCCTGTTCTAGGCAGAAATAAAGGAGACCAAGACAAAGCCCCTGCCCTGAGAAGACAAACAGGAATAAGAAAATATATGAAATAAACATGTAAACAGATGAATACATAAAATTTCTAACACTAGTTTTTTTTAAAAAAAGATGAGCATGATATAGAATGTTTGGTTCCTTCATCAGCTGCCCCAACCAAAGACCTTGGAGAAGGGCCTTTAAGCGATGGGAATAGCAGTTTTAAAAGTTCTAAAGCAGGAATGATTGGTGGCCTGGTTCAGAGGCAGAAAGGACGCCAGGGTCACCGGAGGGGAGTAAATGAGGGAAGCAGATGCATGAGGTAAGGTCACAGAAGGAGTCTGGAGCCTGATCAGGGGGCCTTGTAGGCCAAGTGGAAGTCACTGGGAAGGCAGCCAAAGAGATCTTCTCAAATACAAATCATTTCGCTATCCTGCTTAAATTTCTTCACAGTACATCACTAGCCATATGACCTTGGACAAGTTATTAGTCTTCTCAAAGCCTTGGTTTGTTCATGCATAAAAACACAATTCTTCCTATTCAATACTGTACTAGAAAAAAACATATATATAACTCTTCCTGCTTTCATATGACATATGAAGACTGTGATAGCATGAGAGAAATACCTAGTACAATGTCTGGTGCACAATAATAGTCACTTTAAAATGTGTATATAATATAGAAAATACAGAGAGTTGAGGGAATAAAGTGGTACAATACTTAAAAACAAAGACTCAACTACCCTATCTTCATATGCCTGTACAGTGAGATCATGTACAAGAGAGGTACACTGGGGCCTTAGCAACAAGATACCTTGAATATGAACTAAGAATTTGCTTTAAATCCCAAGGCTCAAAGAACTCATATATTACATTAGTCACTGCGGCTTCACCTTAAGGAACCACTTTTTACTGGGGTCACCTTCTAGCAGCATTATATATTCTCATAGAACAAAATTACTAATATCTATAATTTACCGACAAAAGTAATATTGAGCTAACCCAGACCGGTTTATTTTATTCTAGTCTTTTATTTAATTCCACTTTTTGGTGAGCAGTTCAGAATTTAAATCCAGAAGGAGCCTTGCTGACCTTCTGTTTAAGTACTAGTGCTAAATGGAAACACATTGCTTTGTTTGCTCCAAATATGACTAGATAATATACATAAAGTCCATAGAGCATATAAATTTCTCAATAAATGGTAGCTAATATTATCTGTTGTTGACTCATACTACTAAAAATCAGTTCTTCCTTTAGGACTCTCAGATTCATCCTAAATATAAAAATAAGTTGGTAGGAGTCATTCTGGCTGCCTTTAGAGTCAGTAAGTCAAGTGGGGGAGACAATGTATGAGAAAGATCATGGTAATTATCTATAATCTAACTATAGAAGTAATTTGAGTCAGGAAGATCCTTCAGTCATCAGGGTTCTTCCTGGCACATCCAAGGCCCCAAATGAATTTTTTTTTCCCTTATAACTTTTAGGGCATTTTCCCTTCTTTGAAAGAAAATATTCATGTGAGAAAGGAATAGTGGGAAACTGCCAGGAGAGGAAAGGGGGTGCTCACATCATTGATAAGGGTACCTGATCTCAAACCAGGTGACGTGGGGACAAAAGTGAGGACCAAACTTTACCTGCACAATGACCATTTGCATATCTAACTCTGAATTGTCCCCATCTTTAAAATAAAAGAAATTTTTTAAAGGAAGATAGTCATTGTGACCCATCAAGCACTATTTTTTTTTTTAAACTCATAGTCAAGTTACTAGTGAGAAATAATAGATGCATTACTTTGGTCTCTTTTTCCAGTTGCCCTCTCAGTTCTTCAATCTGCCGGGTAAAGTTGCTCTTTTCCCTGGAAAGTTGATTTATCAGAGACTCCTTTTCTTCCAGCCTCCTTAGGAACTCACCTGCAGAAAGATTTCACAAAGGAAGTTAATCACGATCTTCCTTAACCACTGTCTCTCCCACCTGACTTACTGACTTTAAAGGCAGCCAGAATGACTCCTGTCAACATATCTCTGGTATTCAGGAAGAATCTGAGAGTTCTGTTATCAGCAATATCATGGCAGTGATCCGTACCAGGACCCATAAGAGAGCCCTAAAAAAAGAACTGATTTTTAGTAGTATGAGTTAATAACAGATAGTAGCTACTATTTACTGAGAAACATCTATGCTCTGTGTACTTTATGTATATTATCTAGTTTAATTCTTATAACTCCTTGATAATGGAAGTATTACACTAACCATTTTGTAGAGGAAGAAACAAAGCAACTTACTTAACTGTGACTGAGGCAGAAACACGCATAGTTAGTAATTGATGAGGGTAGATGCAAATGAAGTTCTTACTATAAACAACACATTCTTCTATATCGTGCTTCTTTGTTTATTATATGTGGGTTTGTAAATTTACATCTATACAATTTTCAGATGATCATAACTTTGTGCTTCCTTTGTAAAATGTAAATAACAATGTCATAACAGATTTTTAGAGAAAATTAGACAAGTATAAATGTATTTTATAGAATGAATTGTTAAATAAATATTAGAAATAGTTATTATATGGTAGGAAATGTGACCGTGAGAGGGGAAATTCCATTATATTCTATCCTCTCTGCTTCATCTATTTCATTAATGACAGTCAGTCTTCTGTATCTGTGGGTTCAACCAATGGAGAACTGAAAATATTCAGAAAAAAAAATAGCTGCTTGCATCTCTACTGAACGCGTACAAGCTTTTTTTCCTTGTGATTGTTCCCTAAACAATACAGTATGACAACTATTTACATATCATTTACATTTACATTAGTATTCTAAGTAATCTAGAAACAATTTAAAGTATACATGAGGACGTGCCTAGGCTATATGAATATACTATACCATTTTATGTAAGAAACTTGAGTGTCTGTGAATTTTGGTATCTGCAGGGGAGTTGTGAGAGGTCCTGAGACCAATCCCCCTTCAACACAGAGGGCTGACGATACAGTACAGAAATACCATGGTTATTAAAAGTGATACTAAAAGTTAAGCCAATCCTGGGTAAATGTAGTTTTTCTATAGTGCAATTAGTGCAACATTAAAATTCCAAAATATTTATTACCCCCATCACTCTTGCTGTGACAAGTTCTAAAGCTCTTGACGTAATTAGGAAGCATCTGTTTGTGTTAAAGCAGTGTTCTCAAACTTGTTGTTCTCAGGAACACTTTATATGTTTAAAAATTATCAAGTACTCCACAGTGATTTGTTCATTTTTAAAAATCTCTAATAAACGATAGCTAGAGTCTCAGTTATGCTTCTGAATTCAATCTATTATAATATGTTGTTTTGGTTGAAGTATATGAAGAAATCTAGCCTCTCACAGATATGTAGTTGAAAAGGGGGGGTATATTTTCATAGTCTTTTCAGATAATTGTGACCATCATTTGATACCACACCAAAACTCCACAAATGAAAATTTCTTAAGAGTTAGTTGCAATATGTAAGCAAACCATAGGAACAAACTTCTTTGTTCTGTTACATTGAAATTCATGGGTCTACCTTAAACTCTGAATGGACCTTTACCACACATGATTTTATAATATCATGCTAGGGATAACTTGAAAAATATGGATCCACTGAATCATGCAGATCTTGCAAATGTTGACACATTTCTTTATACAATGTAAAAGAGTAAAAATTCAGTTTTTTTCTGTACTCTCAATCACTCAATATTTCTGATACCAGATGTGTGGGGAATTTCCCCACATACCAAGCAATTCTCAGAATTGAGTGGGTACCAGCTGGGTATCTGACAATTTAATTTGATTCTGATACCATCTAACTGGAGACAGTGCCATATGTATATACACACACACATCTAAATAAATACACACATATATGTATATATCTCATTATAAATCACAGTATCACAATATTTTTAAAATCATATTTGTTAATATCACAACTGCTGCCATCAGAAAAGCCTTTAAAAATTGAGACCCGTCAACTCATGATGGTATATACATGTTTTCTAAAATCTAATTTTTGCCTCAAATTTCCTATTTTGTTATTGGCAACAAATGTTGTCAGTTGTTTTCCTTTAAATGACAGGTATACTTTGCTTATTTTTAAGAAAATATCTGCCACATACATAGACTTGAAGAAGCCTACTTTGTTTGTCAAGTCTTTTTTCAAGCAGAATATATTTTCTGAAAAAAACTGCTAGCTCAGCTCAGAACTTCATCACACATCTTATCCCTGTATGAAGCAGAAGTCTAACATACTCCTTGTTTTGTCATACAGAATATTAAAAAGATATATACTTAGAGTTGAGATGCAATAAAATTCATTTTTACTGCTTTATTAAATACATCCTTAAGGGAAACTGACTTTTTTTAACTGCAAGTGCATATTAGTGAATATGATGACTAGTATCGTTTAGTGCCTTGACTTGTGATCGGGTTCCAGCAATTTTAATCATCATTGCTTTGGCACCATCAATACAAATGGCAAAAGAAATTAAACAGCATCTTAGTATTATAATAAAATACCTTTCACCTCATAGACCCCACTACAAGGTTTTGAGAATCACTGAGGATCTGTGGACAAAACTTTAAGAATATCTGGGTTAAAACATCATATTTAAAAGGGTTCTGAGGAAACGCAAATCCATTATGGGTTGAGACGAATGCAGCATGTATATTACAGAACCAGTTCCCACTTTATGTGGTTTAATTGATCACATTTACTATTAGTCTCCTCTGAAAGCAGAGTACAATAAGCTGATAGGAAAGGATTGAGAAACTCTGGTAGTAGTCACAAAAAAAACAGCAAAAATCTGGAACATGGACCCATTGAGGGGAGGGGAGTTTTAGTTAGGGATATATTTAAAATTTAATTTGCTCAAAAGCCAAAAGGTAAAGTTTTTAAAAAGGACCTGCATCCTAAGGAGAATTATCGTCTCAGACCCACTTTCATTTCATTCACCTACCCACCAATTTCCTTATCAAAAAAGTAAGTAGAAAATTAATGCCAATAACTAAGGGGAGGCAGCCAATGCCTATCCAAACAAATTTTATATGGCTTCCGAGCCCATGCTTACAGATATTCTCCAGCGTTGTTTCTGTACTGTGGAGTCTACACACTGGCTGCATCCTACATGGCACAGAAGATCAAACTGGAAGCTTTGTAGCAAGGCCAAGTGTCACACACCCCATGGGCACTATAAGAAGAGTCTTTTTCAGTGTCCTTGATAGAACCTAAAACACTTTCTTCTTCTAGATTCCCAGGCTTTTAGTTTTGTCAACTCATTTTAACTTAGCATTGACCCTAGATTTAGCATCTAGAAACAGAGGTGCCTACCAGCAGGGGCTATTATACAACCCACATGGTCTTCATTCTCTTTCCAAAAGTGTGTACCTGTGAGCATCAAACATACACTGTTTATTTTAACTGACCTAGGAATTTTATCTCTGGGAATATATTACTAAAACTAATTCTAGTTATAGACAAACATCTTACCACACGTGCTGCTCGTAACAGAGAAACAAGTCAAATTACAGGGCAAGGTTAAGTAAAGCATAACTCATCTCCTTGATGAGTTAGAAGCAACCATTACAAATGACTGAGTAAGCCAAATACAAAAATGTTTATGATAAATTATAAAAGAAAAAACTATTGGTGTATGTGTGTGTATATATAAATGGGATGTGTGTGTGTGTGTGTGTGTGTGTGTGTGTGTGTGTGTGAACACTTCCCCTCTGGCCCTCATTTGATCTGATGGACCCCTCCCCTGGCAGGCAGCCCAAGTCTCCCTCTTATCACCGCCGCGGGCACAGCGTTAGGGAGCCAAGCAGAGCAGCCAGTGCTGGGGAGGGAAGGCACAACATCCCCCCAAAGGACCCTGGCCAGACCCAGAAAGTCCCTCCCCAGCCTGCCCCTCTCACTCACCGATCTGGATATTGTTGGGGAAATTGGCACCTACTACCGCGCCTAGGAAACCGGTGCAGAAGAAGGCAAAAATGTGCTGCATATTCCTTTTTGCATTGGCGAAAAAGAAGCCCAGGTCCAATCATAGATTTGGTGTCCCCCCCTTTCCCTTATTCCTCTCGCTGTTCTGCCTGTTCTTTTCCTCCTGCAGTTCCTTCTTTCCTTGCTTGCTTCCTTCCTTTCTTCCGTGAGGTTTGTCTGTTTCCCTTGG